CCCCGGCCCATCGCGTGGGTGCTGACACCAGCCCGGCGGCATCGCTCCGCCGAGCGGCACCGCAGCTCCCGCGCTTGCTCATCGGGATGGACGGGCATGGAGGACAGGAGAAGGGATAAGCAGTTAAATTGCAGGACTAATGTTTTCTGAAGGCTCTTCTGGGTACTGATTTCTGACCCAGAAGCTGCTGGGGGGTGAGGACGGAGTTAAGGTGAGGTTATTTTGGAGTCGGATGGATGCGTGTATGGATGGATGCTGGCTGAGGGGGAGGCAGCAACGCTCAGGGGCAATTTGATTCCCACTGCAGGCGAAATCTGACCCAGGCTCCGAGTTCGCAGTTAGCAAAACATGTTGTTTTTTTTTTTTTTGCTAAATTACTTGCTATATTATAGAAAGATCTAGAAAGCAATCATTGCAAACGACACCCACCCAGCCCCATCATCCAGCCCCCTGAGCTCCCTGAATCCACGCTAGCAATCGTGAGATGATGGCAGACAGCAAATTTCCCAGCAGTTTGCGGCTGCTGCCTCCTCCTGAAAGACCCCCGTAACCCGGCTGGCGACGGCTCAGCCTCTTTGAGCAGCGTTTCGGCAGGGAAGAGGCTGGGGGGGGGGCTCTGGGCACAGGGCTGAACACCCCCTGTTCCCATCACTCCTAGCCCTGCAGCAGCTCCGAAACAGCAGGATTAGACCTACCCTGTCATGCCAAGCCTGAGCCGCTGTGATACCACACGACCTGAACCAGCCTGACTCAACCACCTGAAAATACAAATACAACTGCATTTTCTGTATCTATGTATAAACAAAACTTAAATACATACATCTATAATGTGTGTATATATATATATGTACAAATATAATGGCTCAGACTCTGGCCAGCACCAGGACCTCGTAGCTCTCGCACCAGGACTAACAGCATCTGCAGGATCCTGTTCCACAATTTATCCCGTTCGTTGCAATTTAAGCAAGCACTGGCTGGACAAATGAGGCTGGGCAGCATCTCCACAGCAGAGAAGATGCTCTCACCTGTTGTAATTAATTTTTGTCCATTTATTTCTGTTACCAAAATACCAGCTCTGGGACCCCAGTGCAAACTGGGGATGGGTTTTCCTTCTCCCATGCTCTGCTGCAATCTGGCTATACTTAAGTTGATGGTTTAGGATGTCTCGGTGTAACCCTCGAGCCCCGTTTTCTGGGATGCTGAACCTCAATGACTTCTTCTGCCTCTTCTGCAGATCTTCAAACAGCTGGGAAAGGAGGGTGAGAGCAGGAGCATCTCCCACCGGAGCCTGCCCGGTGCCTGGAGAGGAGCCGAAAGGAGACCCTATCGCCCGCTCTGCCCCGCAGGTTTTGGGGATGCATGGGACGAGTGGCGCAGGGCTGTGAAAGATCCTAAACTGATGAATTAAATGCCGGGCTTTAGCCGTCGTTTGCATTACCCTCGTTAGCCATCCTGATGGAGGTGGGCACGGCTTCTTGCCTGCAGTGTGGCCTTTTCCAGGGCACAAGCTCAGCCCTGGGGAGAGACTGGGGCAAACCAGACCCTGAGCACGAGGCTGGGGGGATCGTTCAGAGAGGCCTGAGCTCCTTTGAAGCAGCACTTCATAAATCCCAGTCTTAAAAAGGGCTCTGCAGCGTTTGCCCTTGCAGGCCTGCCTAAAAACAGACGCGCTTTTCCCGTGGGTATCGCGGCAGGTTTATCAGCCGTCGTGTTGCTATTTGCTTGCCAGGCACCCGGGGCCGTTCGCGTTTAGGTTTTCAGTGATCGTTTAGCAAGCGGCCCCCATGCAGCCCACCCAGTGCAGGTGCTGGAGGGGGAGACGTCCCCCCTTTTGCAGCCGGGGGGGGTGGACGGCTGGTGGCTTCGCCGCTCCGGGAGCCGATCACAACGGGCAATTGTCAAGTTGGGGCCCCTCTCGTTTGAGTTTTCTTCCTTTTATAGTAAGTAGCAGTTGCTCCAGCAGCTGGCCTGCCCCTCCGGGGTGAGGACAGGGCTCCGTATATAAGGGAAGGAGCAGACTTTGCCTTTCATCCCTCCGTTCGGTTGCTTCGCTGGGCAGCAGGACTCATCCCTGCACCTCTGCAAAGACCCAGCGCGATGCCGCTCAAGAAACCCGACCCGAAGAAGGAAGCAGCCAAACCGGCTGCAGCGCCGGAGCCACTGAGAGAGCCTGCCTTCGATCCCAAGAGCGTGAAGGTGAGTGAGGAATGAAGACGTCACCGTCTTTCTTCGTGCCTGCCATCTGCCAGGCGATGCAAGGCGCCACGCAAACGGCATTAATCAGGCTGAGAGCCAGGGTTGGGAGGGGAAAATTATCAGATTGCTTCGATGCAGCGGGCTGGGAGCGGTGCTCTCCTCGCTGGGGGGGATGTTTCAATCTCCCCCCATCCAGCCCAAGGAAACTGCTTCGCGCTCGCGGGACGCCGCTGCCCAGAGCTCCGGCTGCGGAGTCAAACACCCCAGGGCTCCTGGCTGAGACGCCGTGTTGGGGGCCCGGCAGCACTGAAAAGCTTTTCTGCCACCCACTGTCTCCATCCTAAAGTATTTTGCTGCCTGCGTTGTCTCCTCCATGTGAGAGCATCCTTTATCCAAGTCTCTACAACGGGAGCTCACTTTTTCTGTGATTCCCCAGGATATAGTTATATTTTTAAGCCAGAGCTGTGGCAGGAGAGTTGTTAATAGCAGGCTCAGCACGGAGGCTGTTTAATTACTTGAACTAGGGATCAAGCCTTGAAATAACACCCTTTCCACCCAAAACAGCCCTGACTGTGGCCCGAGCATCCCCGCTGTCTGCCCACCCATTGCCGGCTGCGCTTTTCACAGGGATCGCGGCTCCGCAGCGAGGGCAGGAGCGCTCCTGGGCATGGCACAGCCGGACACGGCATGGATACGGCCCCCCGCCCCGAGCAGGCTGCGGAGCCTGGGGAGGGAGATGCCCGAAGGCAGGAGAGAGCCCCTTGGCTACCCCCGGCAGTAACACAGCCCTCATGCCCGGCTCTGTTCTTTTCTCCCAACAGATTGAATTCACTGCAGAGCAGATCGAAGGTAAGCGCAGATTCACCTTCTCCCAGAGATGGCGTTAGAAACGGGGAGTCCTTTTTCCAGGTAGTTTTTCACAGCAGACATGAGAGCCAAGGCCCCGCACACCAAACCCCCTCCTGAAGGGAAGCCCAGCAGGATCCGGGTACCCCCTTCCCCGCAACACGCTGCTCATCCTCCAGGATGGGCTGGTCAGGTTTCCTAGCAGGTAGAAGGGACATACGAAATCAGAAAGCCGTGTCCCCAACCAGCATTGGACGGGTAAGGAGATGGGGAAGAGCGCTGGTGGGAAGGGAGGAGGCAGGAGAGGAGATGGAGGCGGGAGCAATGCCGGAGGCGAGTTGGGATTTAGCCGGGACTGCAGCGCTGGGCTGTCGGGAGCAATGAATGGATCCTGGCTCCTTGCCCTGCACTGAGGGTGCCCCAGTCGAAGAGGATAATCCCAGCTTCAGAGCCTGGCAGGGAAAAGGTATTTTTCCATTCATGGTGAGAGATGCAGCCTGGTTCAAAGTCTGGGATTCACACAGGAGGAGCAGCCTCCGGCGATGCAGGGACAGCCCCATGCCGAGGGGCTGAGCGGGGATTGGGATTTCTCATCTCTCCGCAGTTTTAATGCCTCTCTACAGACTAGGGAAGGGAGAAGATCTGAGGGCAGATCCCGGTGGGAATACTGGGAGGAGGAGACCCGGTATCCTGCAGGCTCGGCCCCCAAACCAGCTTTTGAAAGGAGAAAAGAGAGCCAGTGGAAATGTGAGCAAGCTAAAATGCTAAGATATTTGGATTTAACCTGCAGCGATGTCCCAGAGCATGTGACATGCTCCCGCGGCTCCAGGTAGTCGGGACATCACTGAGCACCCTCGTAGCGGTGCCTCTTGACCCCGGGACTCACAGGCGGTGATGTCCCTCCCTGGATCCCCCCCGGCGCCAGATGGAGGGATTTCACCTGCAGAGATGGAGCCATTGTGAGGTCAAGCAGGATAACAGCAGCACCCCGAGGTGCTGGGGGGGCACCGTGGACCGGACTACAGGGACACGGCATGGACATCGTGGGGACAGGTCCAGGGGATGGTGAGGCTTAGCAGAAAATATAAAGATGCCAAGTAGAAAACGGAGCAAACCCAAAGCCCTGGGCAAGGATTCCCACCAAACCCAAGGCAATGCCTACCAGACCATGACACCTCCATCTCTGCATGGAGACCGCGATCGTTTCATCCCACCCAACAGCAGGAAGAACAGCAGCTCTGCTTTGAGTGAGCTATTGCAGGACATCATGAAGAAGATGGATCAGAACCTGGAATTCATTAGCGCCATGGACAAGAAACTCACAGCTCTGAGCGCTCATGTGGACAGCCTGGAAAGGCTGATTACCTGCTTGGGCCAGTCAACTGCTCAGGTGGACTCGCTGATCTGGAGGCAGCAGGATGAAATCCAGAAGCGTGTGGAGCATCCGCTGCAGGAAAACCACCATCTCGCTGCCTTCATGGAGCAGCTGGAGAGGCAGGTGCCAGCCACCAGCCTCGAGGTCCTTGGCTTGCCTGCAGAGGAGGAGGGTAAGGACTTGGGGGGGTTCCTGGAGGACTGGTTTCCCACATTTTGCACCTCGACACCAGTGAGGAGCCTGTTGTAGTGGAGAAGATCTTCTGGGGTGAAACGAGAGGCAGAGACCAGGCTCTGAGCAGCCACAGGAGCATGGTTGTCCATGTAAACCAACACTGGGATTAAAGAGAGAATCCAGCAGCAGGTCAGGAAGCTGAAAAGCATCACACGCAGAAGGAAAGAGATCCTTAATTGTTCCTAATTTAGGCCTCCTTCCTCCAGGTAAAATGCAACACTTAATGGCATGATAATTCACGGGAGCGAGCTTGGAAATGAATCTCCCACGTCCTTCCAAGTATGCACGACATGTGGTCTGCAAGGCTGGGGTGGACATGGTCATCCTTCCCCAAACATGAGCAATGCCGTGCTGTGTCTGCCTGGCTGGGGTTGGGGGGATGCCAGCAGAGCGGACGGGGTGTTGCAGGTGTCATGGGAGTGCAGTGGGACGGTCATGGGGTCCTCAGGAGGCCCTGAGTCAAAAAGGGGAAGAGCAAAGGGGATGTTCTGCAGCAAAAACAGCAGCCTGCACCTGCAGCCAATGCTGCCAGCACAAGGTGGTGCAGGAATCCCAGCAAGATTCACCCAGGCAGCTCCGCACGGGTGGCAAAACCTGCTCGAGAAGCTGAGCGACTCGTTGAAGGAGTCTGGCAAGCTTCGGTGGCTCGTTGCTCAAGCACAGGGCTGCCTGCCCTGGGCAGCAGCGACGGGTGCAGAGGGCACCCACCACACACGTGTCCATCCCTTCCCTGCCTGCCAGGCAGGACTCGCTCCCAGCGGGGTGGGAAATGGGGCCAGCATGGCAGAGGACATCCGAGTTCTTCTTCCCCACAGAGTTCAAAGAAGCCTTCAGCCTGTTTGACCGGACGCCCACGGGAGCCATGCAGATCACCTACGCGCAGTGCGGGGACGTCCTACGGGCGCTTGGTCACAACCCCACCAACGCAGAGGTCCTGAAGGTGCTGGGCAAGGCCAAACCAGAAGGTGACAGCAAACTGGGGCAGCGGGGACAGGGTGGGACAAGAAATCCCTGTGCTCCCTGGCAGCAAATTAAGGATTATGTCCCCTGTAGGAACAGCCCTGCAAGATGAAGGAATTGGGAAGGAAATGACGCAGAGAGGCTTCATTCCTGCAAAATTCCTTTGCTTCCCCTCCCTGTACCATGGCTGACGTAAGGAACAGGCTGTCCTTAGCTGGGGATGGTGGTAATTGATGCTTAGCAGACCATATCCTGAGCTGGTGCAAATTGGTGTAACCTGACCAGTCCCAGTGCAGCCGCATTGCCTTGGTGGCAGAGGACCTACCTGCTGGTTTTAATTTTTGGCTGATATCAGCAGCCTGTGTGCAGTCCCCAGATGTTAATACTTTATGCCTCATATGGATCTTCCCATCTCAAGTATAATATACTAACAGTCCCATCACTTTGTGGGGTTTCTCCCTTGTACTCAGGTGGAAATGAGACCAAGAAGGTTAAGCAGGAGGTCCTCAGAGGCTGACCAGCCCAACAAAGTTAATCTCTGACCCCATCTCCTCTTCCCCTTCCAGAAATGAACACAAAGACGCTGGACTTCGAGACCTTCCTCCCCATCCTGCAGCACTTCACCCGCAACAAGGAGCAGGGCACCTTCGAGGACTTTGTGGAAGGGCTGCGTGTCTTCGACAAAGAGGGCAACGGCATGGTGATGGGGGCCGAGCTGCGCCATGTGCTGGTCACGCTGGGTATGGGCTGGCCCTGGGGAGGGGAGCAGGACACAGGCCATCCCTAAGCTCTTTCTGGGCAAATGGCTTGGGTTAGTTTGCTGGTCCCACATGTCGGAGAGACCCTTTTTATTCTGCTGCTCGTAGGCTTTTGTAGGAGTGAATGGCTCCTGAATGTGTGGCCTTTTCCATGCCACAGCTTCATGCATGATCCAGCTAAGATGGAGAGTCCATAACATCCTCAACTATCAGACAATCGTTGCACCTTGGTCCTCTCTTCACAATCCCCCACCAGCACTCCCCAGCGTGTAGTGGCGCACAGCTCCTCTTTAATCTCCTTTTCCTTCCTCTGGTGGCTTTGGCTCTCTGGAAGAAGGACAGGAAGGTCCTGGCAGGCTGAGAACCCTTCCCCTCACCTCTGTGTCCTCCTCTCCCAGGGGAGAAGATGACAGAAAACGAGGTGGAGCAGCTCATGGCAGGGCAAGAAGATGCTAATGGCTGTATCAACTATGAAGGTAGGAGCAAGAGATTCCCCTCGGGGCCATCTCAGATATGGTTGTCCTGTCTTAGGGTGTAAAATGTGTCCTCTGCGAGGACATTGGTGATCACTGAGAGGGAGGTGTGGACCATCCTCCAAAGCCTTTCTGAGGAGAGCTGCGAGACATGTCAGCTGGGGTGGGAACAAGGTGGTTGTGCCAGTGATTTCCAGTAAAAGCAGCTGAAGACAGCATGTTTCCAAGGGTTTCAGGACTGTTTTATCCCCAGTTTTGGCACTGTTTTGTTGTAAGCTATCAAAAATAAACAAAGCCAGCATCTTTCACAGCAGAGGCTAATTGGGAACATTTGGAGACCCAGATCGCTCGCAGCTCCAAGAGGGTGAAAATCTGGCATAGGGGGTGGCTAAATCTGGGAACCCCTAAATTGGAGAGCATTGAGGAAAAGAGGGTACCCATTTCCCTTGGCCTCAGAAAACTGGGGATAGCGGTACTGGCTCATCTTCAAGAGGGGTTTGGTATCCCTCTAACCAGGTTTGGGATGGCATGCAGAGATGGGAACAGAAGGAGAAATCTCAGTCCTGGCAGAGCACAGCCCCTTCGTCCCTGGGGTGTCCCGGGCTGGGGGTACCCCCCACAGCCTCTCTGCCCACCCCACCACAGCTCACAGCATGCTTTGACCTCTCATGCTCTCATTTCTCATTTCCTCCTCAGCTTTTGTCAAGCACATCATGTCTGGCTGAAAGAAGAAACTTCAGGTGAGTTTATCAGGGTCTCCTGCTGCTTACTCTGAAATTGGAAATCCTGCATATGACAGCCAGGGGCAGAGGAACCAAAACCCAAACCCCACAAGCAACCCTGCAGCGGACCAATGCCACAGGAATAATCCCAGCTCTGAAAGCACAAAAAGCTGTGTTCATGATAACAAACCTCATTTGTAACTCGTGCTGTTTAAAATTTATCGGGACAGCATCAGCGACTGTCAGTCGTGGTCTGGTTAATTGTGGTGAATCTCTGCTCGGAAAGAAAGAAGTTGGTGTGGTTTATGGCGATATATTTTCTAACCCACCAGGAGCTCAGGTGGTCATCAAACAGCAGCCGGTGGAAATAAATATTTAAAAACTTGCAGCAGTAAATTACTAAATGCTAAGAAAATACTAAACACTTAGCGAGGAAATTTCTATACTGCTGTGCTAATACTTAAGAAATATCAACATTCCCATTAACATTAGAGAGAATATGGAAAATGTACCATTGATACTTGTTAAGCTTTTTATGTTCCTCTAAGTCTGCCTGAGGAAAACAGAGAAACAGGTTTCTTTTAGGGTGAACTATCCCTCCGAAATCTATTCAATTTAAAAGAGAATCCAAATTACTAAGACCTGGCCCGAGTCTCCCCTGCCAGTTTCTTACGGTTTAGTTATCTCGCTTACTTTTCTTAAACATTGTTCCTCTCCTCAGCTGTGTGAAAGGCAGCAGGCAAAAAAAAAAAAAAAGAAGAAAAAAATGACCTTCAGATACTGCTAAATACACAAATTAAACATTTAAAAATCTCTTCTTTTTTGCCCTCTACAAATCTCTTTAAACATCAGAAGGTTAAAATGGAGGCAGACAGAAGTCTGAACTTTGAATGTTCAGCATCCTTTTTAGCTAGTTTAATCCATTTCTCTCCGGTTCCTGTTCACCAGCTCAGCAATATAGGTGGTTAGGTGGCAAACGCTGCCAGGGAGATTTAATTCTACACAAAACTATTTGCATGAAACACTTTTTTTAATGGTGTGGAATTGTGGCTATTGACATTTTGGGTTCATCTGAGAAGGAGCACTCCTGTCTCAAAGATTCATTGCATTAAGCCCTCTCATGCTTGTCTCCCAGGCTCTCGGAAATGTTTGAACCCGCCTGAGCACCACGAACAGCGAGATTCCTCCATCCATGTCCCTTCCTCCCTGGATGTCACACATCTGCAGAGATGTTTCGCATGAGCCACCATGAAGAGTTGGCCTCCACATGTGTGTGCCTAAGCCTCGGTATACAATGAGACATCTGCAACTTGGTTTTAAACCTTAAGTTATTCTTTTCAGGTTTTTCCTGTGATAATCGGCTCATTAAATTTTGCTCCTTACTCCCTTAAATGGTATCTCTGCTTTGGCTTTGGACTACTCATTGAAGCAGTAGATGGAGGAGACCCCTCGTCTCCACCAGCAATTGGAGATGGCAGGATGATCCCACAGAGAGGCGAAAAAGGCAGGTTTTATGACCACTGGATGTGAGGGAGGAGTTCAGACTTGGGGTGAGGGTCTTTGTTCATCACCCCACCCTCAGTGTGGGGCCAGGAGCTGGGCTGCAGTCTGGCCATGTCTTGCTGATGGAGGTAGGTAGGCCTGGAGCAAAGTGAGCATGAGGGACAGGTCGCACCAAACGGACCCCCCTGTTCTTGGGAGGTTCTTCACCTCTTCTCTGCCCTAAAACCAGCCCTTTTTTGGACATATAGCCCATCCATCCTACAACATGCTGCCCCATGAGCATCGCCTCCAGGTCCAGGCTGAACTGCACCATGGAGCAAAGAGGGACCTGCTTGGCCCTGCCACCGTCCCTGTCACAGGAGAGATCAGCAGGCACCTCTCCTTCATCAACGTGCTGCCTGTCCCAGCCAAAAAAGGCCAGAGGCCCTTTAAAAAAAAAACAAAAACATTTAAAACATTCTTTTTTCTATATCACTGACAGGTCCAAAAATCTACTTTTGAAGGTTGGTTTCCAGGAAGTTGAATCCTGATGAATCAGCAAGGGGGAAAGAAAACGGGGAAGCAATGTGTATTTCTGGGCCAGGTCACACCTCCATCCTCATGGCATGGGACAGTGGGTCCCTGGGGTGCAGGCAGTGTCCTGCCTGGGATGGAGCCCAGCCAGGACAGGGCTCCCTGGGCGGTTCCTCTCCAGGCAGACACCGTGTTCACAGCCAGAAGCTGTCTGGGGGCTGTGCAATGCAAGCTGGTGGCTCTCTCCCTCTTCCTACCTGCAAAAAAATCATCATAGCATCATTAGAAGTGGTGAATAATTCATGACAGATAACTCAGCCCTCCCATCAGCAGAACACCTGGGAGCAGAAAATGCTTTTCTTTGATTTGTTCCTTATTCCAATGTTCTCACTCCGTGACTTTGACTAGAAATGGAAGGCGTTTTGCTCCGATGTGGCTGACTTCAGCTGCCACTTGCTCGTTTCTGTGCAGTGACTAACAGCTGCTTTCAATTCCCACTGCTTGATTCAAATGCTCATAAAAAGCAACCTAAGCTGTTTATAGATGCAAGATTAGATTTTAGCTTCTGTCTGTGGTATTTCTACAGCTTCCATTAGGGAGAATCTGGGCATCTCGCATCTTTAATGTACTATCTGTGTTTTAACCTGTTAAAGGACCACGGTGACAGGGTGAGAAAGGACGCTGCTTGCTGCACATTCACTCCGGGGTCACGTTTGCCCTTGCCACCACCGTGGCATTGGCTCCTGCAGAGGAACGTGCTGCTGCAGAGAGGAACCGAGCAGAGGAGAGGCAGGGGACCTGCCCGAACTTGCAGAGGAAATCCATAGCAGAGACCAGGGGCCCTGCTAGCTGTGATATTCCTGCCCTGGCAAGCCAAGAGGCTGCACTCTTGCCCCTATATGCGGAGTACAAGCCTTGTATTTGAGCCTCCAGCTTCGGGGCAGACAGGAATGACACTGTAAATTAAAACCAAAGAGACAGACAGAAAGAGAGCAGTGGAAAATGATGGAGAGAACTAGAGAAAAATATGAGGGCTGTGAAATCCAGCCTTTGAAGCACCCTCGGGGTAACAGCCAGCCATGGTTCCCTTTGGGGACCTGTTCTGTCTCTTTAGGCTAAGCGGAGCTGATTTGTACCAAAGCAGGTTGGAATGATGCACTTGAACAGGCGTAGTATATATCTCTATAGCTATATACCTCTACATGTGCCTTCGTGCCCTGCCTCCTCCTCTGGAAAAGCTGAGGATCCCGGGAAGGAGGCAGTTTTAGTCACACGGACATTTATAAAAAGCATCTGTGCATACCGGTGAGTGATCCCCACATGCAGACCTGCACTTCAGGACTGGAGGAATCTCTATAAATCGAGATGTCCCAAGACAATAGTCAACACTGTCCTTTTATAGTTCGGACACTTGGAGTCCACGGGACTCTGAGGAGAGGTAAAAATAACCCCCCCACTCCAAGGAGAGCCTATGGCTGTGTCTCCTCAGGCTGCGATAAGATGGAGAGAGACTCATACCAAAGATGGTCTGGATGTCAGGAGAGTTAGCGCTGAGCCCTGTGAGATGGAAGAGACAGATGGAGCCAGCTTTCATCCTGAGGAGTTATCAGCAGCACACGGCAGGGCAGCGAGATCGGGATGAGGATGATGAGTACGGACTGTGCTTTTTGAAAGGCTCCCTCAGAGCCCCAGACCCACGTACGCGCACGTCACCATCATCACCGTCAGCGTGTGAGGCCAAAGGCCTTTAGGGAAGGCAGCCACTTCATTGTGTCGTGTTCTTTGCACCCTTCATGTTCGGCAAAATGACTCGGGTCGACCTGATAGCGAGCCAGGTATCCATCCCTGGGGGAAAGCACTGCTCTGTGACCCATTTTGTTATTTCTCTGAGGTCAGGGATTGGAGAAAGCTTTGCCTTTCCATGCCAACCTGCTCACACCCTGAAAGCAAACACCTGCAGATTTACTGGAGTGATAACAAACTTGTAAATACGCTTTTCAGAAATGCAGAGAAAGACATGTAAAGAGAGTGGCAAAGCAGGCAGGCCAAGCCCTCCTGCTCTACACGCAACTTCTCAACAAAAGCACCACGCACGCAGATTTTATTTTCACGTAAAGATGTGGCCCCCTGCTCCCACATGTGCTCTGCAGTGCTCAGCAGCACATCAGGCAGTGCCAGGATCCGTCCTTCAGGCAGCTGAGTGCAAGTGCAAAAAAGGTATCGGAAGGAGCAGGAGAGAGCAGGGAGTCCATGTGCGTAGGTGTGCGCGCGTGTGCTGGGGGTGGTGTTATGTGGTTGTTTTATTACAGGAAGCCCGCGGAGGGGTTTGGAAAAGGACAGCCTCTGCTAGTTGCAGATGGCTATTATTAGGTCAGTATTTTTAATAAATTGAAGTTTAGTTGTGCATTTTTATTCCATCCTTTTGGGAAGGGAAAAGAGCTCTCTCTGTGCTGGGAGACGTCAGATGAACTGGCACCCGCAAACAGATTCAAGTTGTAATTGTCAAATTACCCCCCTTGCCCCGGTACCCCAATCTGCCCATTTTACGCCTGGCTATCTTGGCTGTTCCTGCCCGGGGAGAGCTGGCAGCACACAACCTCAGGACTCCCCTGTCAATGACGGGGGCAGGACCTGTGCCGTGCTGATCCCCTACACTGGGAACAGAGACAAGGGAACCAGCAGCCAAAGCCCAGCACCAGGGGCCGGGTCGACACAGCACACGGCAGGCCTCCGG